AATAACTATGAATTAGGGTGAACTTTAAAAGTTTTAGAAGAAATGAAGAGGATGATAAAACCAAAGCAAGAAGCATTTGTCGGTAGATGCCACAGCACTAGGAAAACATCTTAAGAGGCCATAATTCCACCAACAAAAAGGCCAGTTGCCTTTTGCCTTTCTTTCTCCTCCAACTGTGCCCCTGGAAAGACGCAACTAACACTGCTCAAAGTGTGTGTCTCTTGCAACCAAGCCTTTCTGAGGGAAACAACTGAGATTTTAAAAAGAAAACACACTGAAGGATGTAAGGATTCACCTTGGCCATATTGTAACATGGAGATTCCAGCTGCCCAAGATGCGAATGTTCAATTCTTCCATCTGCCACTCTGCTGCTAGTGTGTCCCAAAAGTTGCTTTGCGGAAGTTTGTCATGGCCTCTTTTCCCCAAGGTCGGCTCAGTGAAACAAATAAGCAGCAAGTGAAATGGTCCACTGGCAGGATCCAATCCTAATCTCTCCCAAACAATGTTCTGGATTAGATGAATAGCCGATCCTGATCATGTTAGACTCTGAATCTGGTTTGTACTGCACCCAGTAGCATTCGATACATGTCCATCCATCAGCTTTTTATTTTAGGAGCAGGTCATATTCCTCCCCAACAATTAAAGAAATAGAAATACTGGATAACCTGGGTATTCAGTAAGAACACTAACAAACGTGGACAGTTTGATGATACTTGGAACCAGATCTAAAAGCATCCAGTTTTACCAATAGGAACACATTCNCTAGAGGAGATCAACCCTGACTGCTCTTTGGAAGGCCAGATCCTGAAGATGAAACTCAAGTACTTTGGCCACCTAATGAGAAGGAAGGACTCACTGGAGAAGAGCCTAATACTGGGAAATATTAAGGGCAAAAGAAGAAGGTGACGGCAAAGAATGAGGTGGCTCGAGGGAGTCACCGAAACAGTAGGCATGAGCTTAAATGGACTCCAGAGGATGGTAGAGGACAGGAAGGCCTGGAGGAACATTGTCCAGACGGTCGCAATGGGTCAAACACGACTTCGTATCTAACAACAACAACAAACAGCTGTGATGAATAGTGGCTCCAGGGTCAGGCTGAGGTCTTTTGGGCACAGCCGCTTTTTTATGTAGTCATGCTAAGAGTCCCTCTGAATGCAAGGCATGTGCTGTATCCAAGCCCCAGCCCTGCCTTAGCTCAATATTTCATACTCGGGCTATTCATATGTATCTTTGGACAAAGGTCTCTCACGATCTTTATTGTATTTATATTCTTAGGCCTGCATTTGTAAGATTGACGCACGGCAATTAGCTCATCTATTCAGAGAGGAAAGCTGAGCTCCAAGCGAGCGAAACATCAATTTAATGTTATGTTTTCCACTCCGAATGGAATAAATATACCCCTGGCAAATGCAGAACGTTAAAAAAAAAAAGTAATACAAAACCCTTTGATATATATCCAGTGGCTACCAACTGAAATACATTCCTGCTTGGAAATTGTGGGAGCTGTAATTTCAAGGCATCTAGAGGACCTCCGGTTTGGGATGGTTACTAGAATGCTATCCTGACCTACGGGCAGATTTCTAGACAATATCCGAGAGCAGAATTCAGTCTGTTTCAAGATATGTACCGTATCTTGAACTGCACCAAAGACCTTATAGATGGCTCATATTCTCCCAGGGCATTTAAATTTCATTAGATATGATCAAAAAGTTGGAACTTTATATCAAAAGCAATGCACGAGTAGGACCATACCTGAGACAGGCCTGGAATAGCAATAGCAATAGCAGTTAGACTTATATACCACTTCATAGGGCTTTCAGCCCTCTCTAAGTGGTTTACAGAGTCAGCATATCGCCCCCAACAATCCGGGTCCTCATTTTACCCACCTCGGAAGGATGGAAGGCTGAGTCAACCTTGAGCCGGTGAGATTTGAACCGCCGAACTGCCGAACTAGCAGTCAGCTGAAATGGCCTGCAGTACTTGATTGATTGATTGATTGATTG